TTAGGGATTTTAATTAATTAAATTCTTTCCTTTTATTAGTTTAATTAAATCAAGACTTTTCATAAACAAAAAAAACCTAAAAATGTTTTCTTGATTAATTTTATTTCTTTTAAACTAGGGTTTAATTTTACTTATTTTAATTAATTATTATTTTTTATATAATTAGGTTAAAACCATTTTCTTCAAAATCTAAACAAAAATCATTTCTTTTCCATTATCTCCTTGTTTATTTATTCAATTATTGTACATTTATTCAATATAGTTGTAATAGTTAATTAGGTTTAATTTTCTTGCAATCCCCATTTGTTAATTTGTACACCCCCTCCCCTAATGATGTAATAGCATAGTAATTTTACTTTTCGCAATTTATCGCTTTATATAAATGCTAGTAATTAGGGCTTGTATGGAAAGATAAAATCAACAAGTAGCAAACCCTAATCAAAGACTAAACAAAGCATGAAAATCAATACACTTGCACACAAGCACCACTAGGGTAAAATCCACTTGGTTGACTTACAAAAATGACCATATTATGCATGTGAGGTATCTTAGCAAAAAAACAAGCCAAAATACAAGATCATAGTCCCTCGATGACGCTATCTATGTTGCCTTTTCAAAATGATCTTAGTCCCTAAAGAAAAATGCTAAGATACCTTGCAACATTTCTAATCATGGTTATACGATGACCCACACCCGTCCCGTTTACATCCAAAGATAAGGTTACTTACCAAATCAATGGTAAGATAACAATGTCAAAGGAAAGAGGAAATAAACAAGAAAGACTTTTGCGTAGGTAGAATGCCCCTAGTTACTTGCTCACTTTCAAAACAAAACATCCTTGCTATTTTTAAAACAAACACCTACACTTTCAAAACATCTTACAAACTTGAAAACATTTTCAAAAGATCAACATCTTTGTATACATTCTTACAAACGAGAATCATTACAAAGTTTTCCTAAACAATGACCTCTTTACAAAATACTTTCAAAAACCACACAAAGCACAATTTTAAACAAAATCAAGTGATCTAGAAAGTAACTAAGATCCCATGGAAAACCATGGATTAAAAGGGTTCTAATACCTTCCCTTTTCATAATCTATCCCCCGAACTCAAGAAATAATCTCAAAGGTCTTTCCTGTGCTTTTTCACCTTTCCTTTTGGATAAAAGAAAAGTCAGTGGCGACTCTTGCTAACCGCAACATTTGTGATCAAATGCAAAACACCCAAGTCAGTTCTCCCACCGTATCACAACCAACTTGAAGGGTTCATGGTTTATGGGAAAGAAAATAAGGCCATTAACTTAGATAAGTCTCTGTATAGTCTAAAACAAGCTCCAAAGCAATGTCATGAAAAGTTTGATAACTTAATCATATCAAATAGGTACTAAGTAAATGAAAATGATAAATAAGTTTATCATAAATCTTAAAATAGCATTTTCACTATCATATGTCTCTATGTAGACGACTTAACCTTCGTGTAGTTAATGACGTGAAATTATTGTTATGCAACAAATTTGATATGAAAGACCTCAGAGAAGACAAAGCGATTCTTGGTATCAAAATCACTAGATCTGAACAAGGAATTTCTTTGGATCAGTCTCATTATATGAAGAAGATCTTAAGTAAATATAATTACTTTGAATGTAAAACTACTTACACACCATATGATCTAAGTTTAAAACTTTTTAAAAACACTAGTGATAGTATTAGAAAAAATGAATATGTGAGCAACATTGGCAGTCCTAGGTATGCCACTGATTGTACTAGACCTGACATTACATATGTCATAGGATTTTTTTGCAGGTTTACAAGTAGATCGAGCAATGAGATTTGGCAAGCCATTGAGAGAGTCATATGATACCTTAAGAGAACCATGAATCTCGGTTTACATTATCAGAGATTTATTGTTAAATTTAAAGGATACATTGATGAGGATTAGAGCACCTTATTAGATGTTTCCAAAGCAATAAGTGGCTATATATTCAGTATATCTAGAGGAGTTGTATCTTGGAAATTAAAGAAACACACTATCTTAACTCAGTCCACAATGGAGTATAAAATGATAGCATTAGTAACTACTAGTGAATAAGAAAAATGATTAAGATACTTGTTATTTGAGATCTCTTTGTGAAAATAACATATGCTTGTTGTGTTGTTCCACTGCGATAGTACTATGGATATTACAAAAATTGAGAAATGTTAGTATAATGGAGTTGTAAAAGTGGATCATGTACACACTAATGAAAATTTAGTAGATCCTTTGACGAAAATATTAGCTAGAGAGAAAGTTTATAATACATTCAGTAAAATGGGACTAATGCCTAAAGTGAGTTTCTCATGATGGTAACCTGACATAATAAGCCGAAGATCCCAAGAAATAAGTTTGATTGGTAATGACAAGTTGTGAGTAATATGGGGTGATCATGCTAGAATAAATAAGAGAAGAATGAATCTTAAAGCAAAAATAAGATGAGATAGTAGAAACTATTAAGAATATCAATACTCTGTATGAGGGAGTACCTATCTACAAAAGTATTCTTGATGGACTCACCTATGTGATTGTGGAACTTAGGACGATTCCTATGGAATTTCGAGGAAACATTCCTAGAGCATTCACTAAACTGGGATAGACGTGCATGGTCATTAAAACACATGCTTTTTAAAATACACCTTAATAAAAGGTTGTGTATGGGTTTGATTTCTGAAATAGAGTTCAAGACAATTGTATCACTCTTGTTGAATCAGAATCCTATTTGTTACACAAAGGTTCAAGTCGTAGACACCTTTGTTTATGAAATCATAGAAACGCTTGACGTTACCTCTAAAAGTCTTTTTTAAATTAATGTGGATTGTGAGTGGGCCTTCGCTCAATGCCTTTTAGCACCACAATTATCTTTTTAGTTCCCCTTTAGATTTATCTCTTTTTGGGTTTGTTTTCTGTTTGGCCCATGGTTTTATTTCTTTTCTTTCTATCTTATTTCCATTCTAGTTATTTTTTTACTATTATTTTGAGATGGGTTTTTTATCTTTTATTTTAATCATTAACATTAATTTTATATCATTATATTAAATCAATATTAGTGTTAAAATCAACAATTTTAAAAATAATTAAAAGTGTTTGATCAACATCAAGTCAATTTTTCCAAATAAGTTCAATTGAATGTTATTTAAACACTTGGTTAACACTAAGTCTTTTGCTCCCATTTTTTAAATCAAAACGCGTAAAATATTTTCTCAATAAATGGATTAGATGGACATATTTCCTCCCTTTTCTTCATTTATTTGTATACAAGTTGTATAGCTTGGTCATTCAAATATTCGTGATCCAATTAAAATATATTAGTTAAGTGACTTTAGTTGAAATAAGTAAACCGTAAATGGAAGAGATGGACATATGTCCTACCTTCTCCTCGAGTATCTAAATACAATTTGTATAGCTTGGTCATTTAGATACTCACCTTCTGTTAAGGGGTTGTGACTAAAATTGTCTCACTTTTTCTCAATAAACAGATAAATGAAAGAGATGGAGGTATGTCCTACCTTTTCCTCAAGTATTTAAATACAAGTTGTATAGCTTGGTCATTTGACACTTGTATCCTCTAAAAGCAAATTCACCAATCAAATTATGTTTTTTCGTCCCAGCGTGACTCTGAAAACCTTTTCTCAAACGAGTATGCTTTATCCATTTTAACACGAAACAAACTAACGCTTCAGCCTCTAAGAGCGAGAAACAAGCAATGTTTAACCGCTCAATGTGATTTAAGCATCACTCTTTAAAGAACCCAACAAATCCATGGTTTTCTACCATGAACTACGAAACTCTAATTTTCCTATTGCACTTAGGATTACGTAGGAACATGATTTTGAAATCTTGGCGAGCACAATAATAAAAATCCTAAAAAAACCTTTCTTTTTTCTTCTTGCATAATAATTAGAAGATCACAATAAACATTACACTAAAACTCATTCTCAAAACTAGGGGTGACAAAACGGGCATGGCCCACAGGCATTTTCCGTTTTACCCATCATTTTTTATGGGTCGAGCCTGAATTTTGAACTCGCGTATTTAAGTGTGCCCGCCCCGCTAAAAAATGGAGCGGGCGTGGGGCGGTCTCCTACAACCCGCTGATATAAGTTTAAAAACAAAGGGAGTTTCGGCCATGACAAAAACATCCCATTAACATCTAAAATTAGGGTTACATTTATTATTACTCCTCATTTTTCTTTCCTTCACATGTTTTGGTACTAAAATTATTTTCATGCGCCGCTGAGCAGCCAACATCCAGCCTCCTTCGTGTTCAAAATCACACATTTTTTTCACTCTTGTTCGAAATCGTACCACTAAGTAAGTAGTAGGCTTCTTTAATTGATTTTTTGTTGTCTCTTTTTCTCATTTTCTTTGCTAAACTAACATTTTGGAATTAATTATTTTGCTTCCATATGATTTTAACTTACTTCCAGTTGTATTATTTTAGATGTGAAACTAGTTTCATCATGCTTTTAACTTGTTTTAACATGTTACTGCTGTTAAATGTTGTTTTGTTGTTGTTAAATGATAACATGTTATTATGTTGTTGTTAAATGTTATTCTGCTACTGTTAAATGATGTTATGCCGCTATTAATTGCTGTTAAATATGCTGTTAAATTATGCTGCTGTTAAATGGTTTTCTGCTGCTGTTAAGTGCTGTGAGTTGTAAAACAGGTGCTGTGAAAAGTTGTTTGCACATGCTATTAAGTGCTGATAAATGTTGTGTTAAGTGTTGTCAATTGCAAAATAAGTGTTGTGAAATACTGTTTGCACATGTTGTTCCTCTCAATACTTTGGGATAATTTTAATATTTTGTTGCTTTAATTACTCACACTTGAATTTTTTTATAGGTGTAGTGGGTAATGATGAAGATAAATGATGAAGAAAGTTTGGAAAAAAGTATTGCAACAAAAACGTCTTTTGTTTATGACATAGATGAAGATTGATTAATGAATATTTTATAACTTGTTTTGTAATTTATGTTGAATTTTATGGTGGTTTAAGTTGTAAGGTTTTGAACTTTTATTGATGTTTTGAATTTGTAAGGTGTTAAACTTGTAAGGTTTTGTAAGGTGTTGAACTATTTTAGTGTTGAACTTGTTTGATTTTGAACTTGTAAGGTGTTGAATTTGTTTGGTGTTGAACTTGTAAGGTGTTGAATTTGTTTGGTGTTAAACTTGTAAGATTGTGTAAGGTGTTGAAATTTTTTACATGTATTTTTATTAATGATGTATTTCTTTATAGAAATTATATGATATGAGTGAAAAAACATTTTTTTATTTGTTTATTTAAGATAGTTGAGCAGGCATGCCCGCATGTCTGCCGTTAAATAGGGCGGGCCTAATAATTGAGTTTACGTTATCAAAAATGTCTGTCCCGCCCCGCCCTATTTTTTTGAGGCTTTTGCAGGGTGAGTTAAACGGGCACAAGCACGTCCGTTTGCCACCCCTACTTAAAACTAACTAAATGGATCTCATTGAGTACAACAGATGTGAGGAATGCTAATGCCTTTCCCTTGCAAAACCGACTCTCGAACCCTCTTTTGGTTGCGATGACTATTTTCTTTTCTTTCGTGGGTTTTATCAATATTTTCCCTTTTCTTTTACAATAAATAAAGTTTAGTGGAGACTTTATTATATTTTGAGCGTTCCTTATGCTTTGATATTTTTCAAGCCACGACACTGAGTAATGAGAAAGTTTTTAGGATTTATAGGACAAAATTAGGGTTGAGTTTAGCAAGTGTGCGAGTGAATCATGAGTGTGTGAATTGAGATATTTTGGTGAGATTGTGCTTGTTGAAATCGTGTAGAGGGAGTGTGATTGTATGAGTGTATGAGATGTCAAAGGATAAGGATGAATTGTAGTGGAATTGATGCATATCTTGTGGGATCCCATGGGCTAATGATCAAGCCAAAATCGTGTGATCATGTGATGTAACTTGTAATTCTCTCATGTAATTTGTAATGAACAAATTATTGAATAAAATTTTAATTTCATCTTGTGTTATTTCACTTGTTTCTTTTTAGTTATTTTTTATTTTTATTATTTTAGACTTCATGTTGAATTGGCTCTTTGATAATTTGATACAATTGGATGAATTATGCATGAATGCATATGAATGAATTGTTGGTGATGTAATGTCTGTGTATAAAATGAGATAAATTGAATCTTGAACTTTTAAATTTTTAGAAACACTTTTGGTCATGAATGGATGAATGTAAGAAAGAGAATAAACGAGAATGTACGGAGACAACATGAGAGCTAGAATCAATGAAGATGCATGAACAAATGTGATTGATGAATATTATGGACCAATTTTGGTTTGGATTTCAATCTTTCCTTTATTCAATTTGGGCTCACTTTTAAACTTTGAATTTTGAATATTGAAGGCATGGATGCATAATGTATGAAAAAGAATGACATGAGAACTTGTAACTTGGCCTTTTTATTTAACTTTAATTTAATTTGTAATGGTGATGAAATGATAATTGAAAATGAATTATCTAATGCAATTCAAATTGTTAATGATATGATATACGAATGATGTGAAATTTATGTCATGGTTAATGATGAATGAAAATTCAAGCTTAATATCAATTGGCCTAAGTTACCAAGGTATACCAATAATGGTATGATAAAATGGTTTAAAATGGACACAACCAAATATTTTATTCAAATATTTTTGTTGACTTTTCAAAAGAAAGCTTCTAATGTAAGAAATTTCATCTTTTAATAAAATGGTCTAAAAATCTAAACTAAAATGGTGAAGGGGAAATGGACTAATATGCAAAAAGAAACATGATCAATTATGAACTAAAATGTTAATACAGAATGATTAAACTAATTAACATGGTAAATTAAAGTACAAATGTCTTAATGGATGAATGAGATGAACAAAAATTTGAGACCCAATTAGGGTATGACAACGAGGCCTTTAAGCCCTCCATTTGTATGAACTCTTAACAAGGACATGCTTTGATTTAATGGGGTAGAACTATTTTCCCCATTGAGAGCAGAGGTTTTTAATGAGGTGCCCTATTTTCTTAGCCACTTTTATCTTTATAGGTTATGTAAGAGGTGATTATTGGACCTTAATTTAAGGATCCTTGTCGCCTATAAGGCAACTATATATGGGCCATTCATTGAAGGATCCTTATCTCCTATAATGAAATTGTATGTTGGACCTTCATTGGAGAATCCTTATTTCTTATAAGGCAATTGTAAGTTGGGCCTTCATTAAAGGATCCTTTTCTCCTGTAAGATAATTGTATGTTAGACTTTCATTGAAGAATCCTTGCTTCCTATGAAGTAGTTGTATAACGGGCCTTCATTGAATGATTCTTTCCTCCTATAAGACTATTATATATTGGATCTTCATTGAAGGATCCTTGTTTCCTATAAGGCAAATGTATGATGGAACTTTATTGAAGGATCCTTCGATCCTTTAAGGAAATCGTACTATGGAACCTCATTGAAGGATATTTTATATCTTATCAGGTAATGTATTGTGTAACACCCCAAAATTTGAATTATTTATTTATTTGATTATTTGTGATTTATTATTGATTTCATGTGATGTATGATGATGTGTTGTGGGGTAGTAAGTGGGATAAAAGTGATAATTATAATTATTTAGATTTAAATAATTTAAGTTATATTAATTAGATTTATAATAATAGTTAAATGGAATAATTAGTTGGGTAGAGATGTTAAGGACATGATGGTAATATATAATGATGAGTGAGAGCATAAAAGGGATAGAATAAAAAGGGTCCAAGGGGTAACAAAGTAAAAAGATAAAATAATAGCAATATAGATCATTTTGTACGATCGTGGAATTTGGGAGAATGCGAAGAAGAGGTAGGGCACAAAGAACCAAGAAGGGATTCAGTAGAACTCGAAGAGAGAATCAATTCGCTAAGGAATTCGAGGTAAGAGGTGTAATCAGATTTATTATGACCGATATGAGGTTAAGGTAGATGTAAGGTTTTTTTTTTGTGTGATTGATTTGATGAAACATAGGATGAGAAATATGATGAATTGTTGATGTTAATGATATAGGAATGACATGATTTAATCCTAATATGTGCTTATACATGTTTTAATGTTAATATGTGATATATGGTGTCTATAGTGAGTTTTGGAATGAGTGACATCTGTAATACGGTTGGAGAACTGGCTTTTTTGTTTTATTGCAAATGTTGCGGTTAGCAAGAGTCACCACCGACTTTTTTTTATCCAATATTTAGGAAATGTGAAAAGAACAGGAAAGACTTTTGATAGATTTTGAGTTCGGGGGGTAGGTTATGAAAAGGGAAGGTGTTAGCACCCTTTTCATCTGTAGTTATCTATGGGCTCTTAATTGCTTAGCTCGCTTTTAAAAAACTTGCTTTGTGTGTATGTGATTTGTTTGAAAATATTTTGAAATGTCAATGTAAGGCAGACTTTGTAATAATTCTTATATCAGTCGTCAAGAATATATACAAAGTGTTTTTTTTTTGAAAATATCTTTGTTTGAAAGTGTAGTGTGGAAGATGTTTGTTTTAAAAGAGGTTGTGAGCAAGCATTAAAAAGTCCTACCCACTAAGGTCTTTCTTGTTATTTTCATTCTCCTTTGGAGATAATACTATCCATACCATTAGTTAGTAGGTAGTCTTATCTATTGGATATGAAGAGACATGTGTAGGGTCATCGTATGGTCATCGAAGGCAACATGTAAGGATACTTTAGTAATTGTATCAAAGAGACTATCATCATTTCGCTTGTAGGGTCATCGAGGGGACTAGATAATTTGTAGGCAACTTCGAAGGGTCATCAAGGGAATATGATCTTTATGATGATTTGATCGAGGGTCTTTTGCTAAAGTACCTCCACTTTCGAGGGACATAACCAAAGTATCGTAAGGCAGCAGGAGAAGTTACCCTAGAGATGCAGGTGTGAAGAGTGTGTTAATTCAGTTATGTTGAAAATTAGGGTTTCTAAGTTTGCTTTTAATCTTGCCATACAAATCCTAGTTACTAACAGTTAAAAATATAATGTACGAAATGTAAAGTCCTACATTATTACATGGCTTTGGGAGAGATACATAAGTATTAAAAATGCGGGAAAGTAAATCTACGCTATTACATCCTCGGAGAAGATACATAATAGGAAAAAGATGCGAGAAAAGATATATCTACGCTATTACATCGGGGAGTTGCAACCTATACAATTGTTCTAGGAATTTAAATAGCGATAAGAAAAAGAAAAGATGTTAGAAAAATGTTTTAGTGTTTTTGTAGAAAATAATTTAAGTGATAATAAATAGTAATTAAACCTAAATTCTACTTTATTTTAATGTTAATAAAAGCTAATTAACCTAATTAATTAATAAATAAAAACATGTCAAAAAATTATTTACTAACTAGAAAAACCCTAATCCTAATTTGTCATGTTTTTTAAAAAAATGTTTTATGTTAATTAATGGTTAATTAGAAAAATAATTAGTAAGATGGAAAAGAAATTTAGGGTTAGTAAAAAAACACAAATGCATGGGGTGGGGTGGGAGTTGAACCCACACCCTGGAAGTCACATGTATGCCCTCTATCCATTGCGCCATGAAGTTGATTGTGTTGTGAAATATGAAGCGCTCAATTTGATATTAACCTGCTTTGAAATCAGAAAAACAAAAGAAATTGACAAAACGTAGGGATTGAACCCACGCCCTTTGCAATACTATCCAGCGCCCTTACCAATTGTGCCACACTGTTTTTATGTTATTGAATACAAACAAATCAATATATAATAAAACACTAGATTACAGAAGCGCTGGAGCCCTAGCTCTGGTCGTCTTTGAAACAATTGGACAAATCATCGAAGGCAAAACTCAATTAAGTCGCCATCGAATGTCTTTTATCCTATGGGAAGGGAAAAGGTAAACATCGAGAAAACCTGAGAGTGTGAAATCATGGTCTTGCAACCATAGAGATCGGGTAAGGAAGTCGGTTACATGAGGGGAAGGTATTAGCATCCCACATGTATGTGGTACTCTACAGGATCAATTTGTGTTGTTCTAATCTAAGGGTGTATAAAATCTATGTTTAGAGCTTAAGAGCTAAAAAGAAAGATACAAAGGGGGGAATGCATGCAAAAGAGAGAAAACACGGGGAAAAGAAGGAAATATTACAAAGGC